CATCTCTTCTCGTTTTTCCCGCATTTCATCGTCCTAATAAGTACAACAAATTTATTCAATCAAGAAACCGTCAGAATTCCGATCATGGCAGCTGTTGAAGGTGGCATCTTTACCCTTCTTTCTGGGATATGAGAATTTGAACCACCGTTTTCTTGATTGGGAATTGAGCTAAAGGTTTTTGCTTCTTTTTTTTGGGTTGTGCAGGACAAGAGCGCGAGGTGCAGAAGAGTTACTGGATTGAGCACACTACTGATCTCACTGTAGAGGCAATGATGCTTGATTCCATGGCTGCTGATCTTGACAAAGAAGAGCGCCCTGAGGTATAGAGTTTTTGTACTTTGCGTTTCTTCTCTTTTTGTTCTTTTTGCATGGTATGTTGTTGGATGTTTGAGAGGAGTATTGATTAGCTTGTTATGAGCTCAAAAATTTTATATGGGATGCATCATAATCTTATCTTTTGATTTGTTTGTCTTTGTCACATCGCAAGGACATAAGAATGGTTATTCTCATTTATACATATTAAGGCATGTGTCACTGTCTTTGCATATTCCAAAGCGAAGTGATGGTGGTTTTTCCTTTTTCTCTTTTCTAGTTTTGCTACAGAACTGGTAGTTACGTGCTTAGAATGTATTGTCTGCTTTTTCTTTGTGGTAAAACTAGTGTTGTTTGAGATTTTAGCTTCACATGTTAGTGGTGGTCACGTGCCTAGTTCTCATCTCATTTATGCTGGTGTTGCGAACTAAGATCCCCTAAATCAAGGTCGAACCTTTTTAGCCACTATCTGTTCGGATTGGTGGCCATATCCATTGATCTTGCAGCAAAAATAATGGACTTCTATCTTCGAATGTATCCAAACTTACAAGGCCTTCTGACTGAATCACTTAAGGCAAGAAGGTCAGTATCACAGAGGAGTAAAATGTACTTTAGTAAAGATTTACTCACCTTTGATTAACTCAAAGCAGCAAAAAGTGTAAAAAATAACAAAGGAAATGGATTACTTGTTTGACACCTCAAATTATTTCTTGCCATAAGAAACTTAAAAAGAAAACATTCTGTTCTTCATATCCCCTAAAATTTCCTGGAGCAAGATAATTTCAGTTTAACTGACCTGAACTTGATAACTTTGCATTCTATGCATTTATCATGTTCTGTATTAGATTCCTATGAATCCACAGCTCATATTTGGTTTTTAATATCAGAGTTTTTTTTTTGCTTTTAATTGGGCCTTGTACATCTTCTTTTTATGCAATCACTCGGAGTATGGTCCCACAGATTTCATGTTTATGACTATGCAATAACACTTGAAGCTCTCTTCTTCATGGTCTAACAGGTGCTATCGCTATTACCACCATACGAAGGAAAATCAGTTCTGGAGCTAGGAGCTGGAATTGGCCGTTTCACTGGTGAATTAGCAAAAAAAGCTGGTCAAATTGTTGCTTTAGATTTCATTGAAGGTGCAATAAAGAAGGTTTGTGTACCAGAAATAACTTTGTTTTCAGCCAATTGCTTTTGAAACTGTATGTTGTAATTCCTTCTAGAGATGAATGGTCCCATAATTTGACCTTCGGATGTGCAGAATGAAAGCATTAATGGGAATCTTAAGAACACCAAGTTTATTTGTGCTGATGTGACGTCCCCAGAGTTGTACTTCTCAGCAGAGTCGATGGACTTAATTTTTTCAAACTGGCTATTGATGTATCTCTCTGATGAAGAGGTGAATACTTTTTTACTCTTCACTGAAAAGTTGTGCTGACCAATTTGTGGTTATGTTGTATTTTAATCATTATGCTGCTGTTCTTATTTATTATTAGCATGTCATCATTTTCTCACATATTTTCATTGTTTGTAGAACATCTGTTGAACTCCAATGTTTCTGTTTCAGTTCCTATTCCTGCTTGTCTTAGACCACCAATCTCCTCATTGAAACCTGTCATTGATTCGTTCTGCTTGGTTTTAGGTTGTGGCACTAGCAAAGAAGATGGTTGGATGGCTGAAAGTTGGTGGGCACATTTTCTTTAGAGAGTCATGTTTCCACCAATCTGGAGATCACAAAAGGAAGAAGAACCCAACTCATTATCGTGAGCCCAGATTTTATACCAAGGTTTGTTTTCACATATGCAGTTTAATTCTTGTTGATTCGCATGTCGCATGCTAGGTGATTATCTTTAATGGAAACTTTTCCGATTCATGTTATAGTTCATTGCGTTGGCAGTTTGTTCTTATGTTGCTTTAACACGTGTTAATGAAATATATACTCCTTAACAATGTGCTAAATATGCTGATGAGGATGCTTCTTTAGAAGTTGTCTCAAGAATCTACAGCTCCACTCTTGTCCTTTTTGTCTAATTTGTACACAACTCCAGGTTTTTAAAGAATGTCACTTCAATGATGGCTCTGGGAATTCTTTTGAACTTGCTCTTGTTTGCTGCAAATGCATTGGAGCTTATGTAAGGAACAAAAAAAATCAGAACCAGGTATAAAAATGCTAACTGTTCTTTTCTTTCTTTTGTGTTTCTTGTCATTTTTTACATCTGTACACTAGGCCAAATGATGGCTATCTCTGCTCGTTTGGAAACAGATATGCTGGATGTTGAAGAAGGTACGTTCAGAGGATGATAGGGGATTTCAGCGTTTCTTGGACAATGTGCAATATAAGTCTAGTGGGATTCTCCGCTATGAACGTGTCTTTGGACCAGGATTTGTCAGCACTGGAGGGATTGGTACATCTCATTCTTTGTGCTTTTTTTCCCCTGCTTTTTTTATGCATTCCATAAACATATTAAGATATATGAACTTGGAATTTTGGTTTTATCTGCCATTCGAAAGCACAGTGTCCTTTAGATGTGTTGGATTGCTAAATAATAAGTCAAAATCACTACACAATGATCAGGATGAGTCTGTTGGAAAGGGGATATGCAAAAGTGTGATTATTCTGCTGAGAGATGCTGTGCAGTTATTCACTTAGGAGTATCCACTTGTAAATGGGTTCAATATCCAAGTGCTTTTTGCAATGCTCTGCCAAGAGTAGCTTCTCCTGAAATTTGGATTGTTTTTCTTGTTATGCAGGAATCTTGCAAGTGTGTAGCCTGTATTCATCCTTAAGTGGCTTATATTATCTTTAATGGATGATTGAACAAGCTGAAGTGTTTTTTGAGGCTATATCACTTTTAATTCATTAAATGATTCTTAAAACAAATAGAAAAGAAAATGCTTTTCCTTCCTTCCATTTCATAGTTTTATGCATTTTGTCTTTAGTTGAACTTTTTCTTATGTTCATCAGACACAACAAGAGAATTTGTTGGTAAACTGGATCTTCGACCTGGACAAAAAGTTCTGGATGTTGGTTGTGGTATTGGTGGAGGTGACTTTTACATGGCTGAAAAGTATGATGCTCATGTTGTTGGCATTGATCTCTCAATCAACATGGTTTCTCTTGCTCTGGAACGCGCTATTGGCCTCAGATGTTCTGTTGAATTTGAGGTTGCTGATTGCACCAAGAAAACATATCCTGATGGCTCATTTGATGTTATTTACAGCAGGGATACTATTCTGCACATTCAGGTAGAATTCTGTTGTTCTGAAAGGAACTTCAATATTTTATATAACCCCAGCTATTGCTTTCTGGTATATTTTTTTCTGTCTGACTTTTCAAGAGGTTGCAATTATATGAAGTTTTTCTTATTAACCCTTTCTGGTGCCTTTGTTCATTTTGATCTAGTGGTACATGTTTAGGATAGAATGCCTAGCATTTTTAAGTAGTATAGCAGTCTGTATAAATTTAAACTTAGTCTATGTGAATCCTCTTATATAAAATTTGTTTTTAGCTGTCAGCTTTCATATATATAGGACAACAAACTTTAAGTTGCTATAGATCCCATTGATACTATTAATTGGTAGGCAAAACTGTAGTGAGACCTAGACTAAACTTTGGTCCTGGCTTTGCCTTTAACTTTATATAGACGTTATGTTATCAATACATACTAGAAATTATGGTGGCTTAAGTTTAAGTTGAAAGGTTTCTGAAGTATTCTTGTGAATGGTATTTATTTTGTCTGATTCCAGTTTTATTCAGCATGCTCAAATTCCTGTTGGTTATTCAGGACAAACCTGCACTCTTCAAATCCTTTTACAAATGGCTGAAGCCTGGAGGCACTGTCCTAATTAGTGACTACTGCAAAAGAGCTGGACCTCCTTCAGATGACTTTGTCAAGTATATCAAGCAAAGAGGCTATGATCTGCATGACGTGGAAGCATATGGCCAGGTTTACTTGCGTAGTCTCCCTCTCTTTGACACCCACTCTTTTCCTCTCCCCATAACTTTTCTCCTTATAAGGGGTGTTTTTTTCCTGTTCATAGATGCTAAAAGATGCTGGTTTTGATGAGGTTATTGCTGAGGATCGAACTCATCAGGTGTGATTTCTTCTCTCCCTTTTATCTCCCGCGCCCATCTTGTGTATGTGCTGCTCTTGTTGTCGTTTGGCTCATTGCAACCCTAAATTCATTTTGTATTTCAGTTCATAAACGTTCTTCAGAAGGAACTAGAATTGGTGGAGAAGGATAGAGAAGCATTCATCAGTGACTTTTCTGAAGTAAGCGTTTTAACATCTAAGTTAATAATTCCTTTGCTTAATGGAATTTGACATGTGCCGCTTACCCATGTTATGATCTAATATACAGGAAGACTACAATGATATAGTTGGTGGTTGGAAGGCCAAGTTACTCAGGAGTTCATCTGGTGAGCAGAGGTGGGGTTTGTTCATTGCCAAGAAGAATTAGACTTTCTTGCGCAATCTTGCACCGTGTCATCTGCAATTATCATTCTGCATGTTGATGAAGTCTTTGAATGTTTTTTTGTGTCTGTAACTTACCTATGTGGTAACATGGGTATAGTGAATTCTGTTCTCTTATAACCTGTGCTTCCATCATGTCAGATGGTATTCCCACTGTAATAAGGGGTGACTTTCTCTATCGCTTAATGAGATTTCATTTGATCTTTGGCATTATTGTCAACCCATAAATTCTGGAGAAATTGTTATTGAGCATTTATTATGCAAGTTACTTTGTCATAAAACAAAATCAGCCAAAACACCAAGAGACAAAATCATCATCTATGGAGCTATACAAGGTTTTATGTATCTTTTGAGAGCTATGTTTTTTTTTTTTTTTTAAAGATGTGAAGGCTATTACATCTTAAATACGTAGTTATTTCTTTAGTACATCGATTACATCTTTCGATCTAACAACCACTGGAGATGCAGAGAGGTTAGTGTTTCTTTTCCCTTGATTGTCTGGAATTGTCAGCAAATTGAGTTTCTCATCATTCTTCCCAACCTTCCTGAATTCATTGGGAAGGTATTCATTCATCTGCACACTTAAGCTTCCACCTAAAAAGATGGAACATTTTTCACTAATCATACTTCGGATCAAAGGAGGAAATGTCAAATAGAAAAAAAATTATTCTGGTGTATGGATGATAACAAATTGATCTTCGCTGCTTCTTTTTTTATCAACAAAGAACCTAAGATTACCCAGAATGAGAGCAGCCCCTATCCAACCAGCAGTACCCCATCTTTCACCGAGGAGAAACCATGCGAATCCAGCCCCCCATATTGGCTCCAAACCATAAATTACTGCCGTTTCTGTTGCTGATACATCACGCATGGCAGCCATCTGAATATCAAAATTAATGTAAGAAAGAGAATCTCCATCTAAGTCTACATTAAACTCTAGATTCTAAAGGAGAGAGGAATCTCAGAATATATCGATTTTCTTCCAATCTCAACCTGGTTTTAAAATTCTTGGATCCTGTAAGCCAGTTTTTACGCCCTTTTTTCCCCTTGAAACTTTGCACAACTCAGGAACTTACTTGTCTTATTTCTTTTAGACATTCGAAATACTAGTTAAACTAGCAAGAGTTACCTCAGCCCATAAACATAGTCCTGTTGAAAATACACCGGTGTAAAGTGTTGGTATCCATGGAAATGTAACCATCCAATCCCAGACCAGAGCCCATGTCCAGGATACGTTCTCAGTGTATTGAAAACCATCAAAACTTCCCCCAATCAGACACCAGATTGCAGATAGAAGGGCAACAACAGATACCTAATACGAGACAAAACACAAGGCTAATGCGCACAGAACTTTTGTACAGCAGAAGAATGGGGGTTGAGAAAGATGGTAGTTACTTTTGACCAGTGTTTTTAACAAACCTCATATCCAAGAAGTGGCAAGAAGTTCTCTTTTCTTGTGCTTCTTGATATGTGTTCTGTTCGGAGTGTGTGAATTCCAAAAAATATGGCACTTAGAAAGTTGAGAAGATCTCCAACCTAAAGAAAAAGCAAATAAAATGGTAAACAGATTTTTTTCTTTCAGTGAAAGATTTCTTATCCCACAAAATAATACCGTGAGGAAGGGTCTCAAAAGAGGGGGGGGGGGGGAATCATACTAACATTAGGAGGAGATCCACTACATTCCAGCAAACCAAGGCCTACGACTGACATGAGAATTCCAAACCAGGTGCGAGCTGGTACTATTGTTCCCAACATGCTTTCGAGCAACGGAACCACGATAACCTGCTCATTCAATGCAGAAAAGTAATCACATAAACAGTTGAAGATCAGAGGAGAATGCAAAAATGAACTTGTGGTGCAATCAAGGAGCCATAATAAATGATTGTAGCGTATCACACTTATCAATGCAATGATGAATGCGAACTCCATACAAATATTGCAATCTCTAGACTCTTTCTCCTTGGATATCTATGGTCTTTGATTACAAGAACTACAATTAGACAAAGAGACTGCTACGATTGGCATTACCTATGCAATGCTTTGTAGTCTCTGCGAATAGTCATGTTTTGCTGAACCGTAGCTCATACAAGAAGATTCGATATTCTAGAGAGGATCAGGCTAAATAACTTACCGTGAAAAGAGAGAGAAATGAAGCACGCCCTGCTTCAGCAGTGAGTAGGCCAAGCGCCTCAATCAGGTAGCCTAAACTGATCCACAGTCCCAGTTCCATACCTGCTTTACGGGTTTGAGCATCATTTCTTGCCCGAAAGACAAAAGGCAAGAATGGGATGGCTGATACAGCAAACCGCACTGCAGAGAAGGCTGCTGGATCCATTAAAGCTTCGGTCTCTTTTACAACTAGAATGTTGCTTGCTGCAATTTACAACATAATTACCATGCATTCAACTCTCGCTTAGATATAAGAAGAAAGACAGCACTTTTAACTAAATAGTTTGCCCAATTTAGCGACTAGAATATCATACTTGAGTCCATGCTACAAACGAGACAACACTAGTTCCGCTGTTTCTTGAACTAGGGAAGCGTGCAGAGATAATAATTGGCTTTTACGTCATCAATTTTTGTCGATAAGATAGAAATGGTCAGATTGTGAAGTAGATGGGTAATTGAATTTCTCTTGCCTAATCCGTCCAGTAGTAATTTGGGATCCTTACCATAGACAACACTCACAACATTAAGCAAGATTATACTCCTGAACTTCTTCGATCCAAATAGAAGTTTCCTCCAGAGAGGCCTCCTTCTGATTGAAGATTTGTTGGCCTTGATTTTTGAAGGACCCTTTGAGCTCTCATTAGATTTAGTCTTGGTTTCTACCTTACACGTTTCAGTTTCAATAATTGAGAAAGCCCCATCGAAGTTTCTTCCACTCCTTGAGGATCTTTCTGCCAAAATTTTCCTTGAAGCAGCTGACCAACTGTGTACAGAAGAAGAAGAAGAAGAAGAAGAGGAGGAGGAGGAGGAGGAGGAGGAGGAGGAGGAGGAGGGGTTAGAAGAAGAAGAGGAGGAGGGATCAGAATATGAATAAACCTTGAGATGGGAAATTTTTCTGATTCCATAAGAATTCAAGTAGCAGGATACTGTCGCCGCCGCAGCAGTATCTCTTGAGGCCCTCCAAGTTGAGAAGTATGGCATATTTGGATCACAATACCCTCTCTTTTCTTTTGTTCAATGAATATTCTTTGATGAAGTTTTGTACTAGATGTTCATGTCATGGACGGAAAGAACTTGGTGAAATGAAGTGACAAATTATGTTCAAAGCCTGAAGTAATGGTGCCAACTGCCATGCTCCATTAATCACAAGGCTGAGAGGCAATTGCTTAGGAGAATGATTGATGGGTAATTTGTTTCTAATTTATTACAACCATATAAAATAGGCCAGAAAGGAGAGGCATGTGATGTTTTTCAATATGGGGATGGTATCGCATCATTCAAGCATGGACCCGCCACATTACATTGAAATGAATGTTGTCCCAGTGATAGGAGAACATTTCCAAATGCGAAGCACGCTAAATTTGGCAATCCATGAAAATCATCTTTCCGACCATCCTCAAAAAAAGAAAAGAAAAGAAAAGAAAGCATTGATTGCCTTTCAATTTCATCATTCCTTTGGTGAGGGAAAAAGGACTCATAAGCCAGTCGGTTACTCGTCCTTCGGTTGCTTTTAATCTTCTCAAAATTAATATCAATATCCAGAATATTGAACGGAAGAGTGCTAATTGTTCATTCTGGATGAAATATTTGTGTTTAAGTTGCATTGATATTTGAATGCAAAAGTAGCAAGAATGTGCACTTGAACTTGAAAATCTTCTCGAGAATATGACGTTCTTCTTCTGAAATCTGAGCCGAAGTACATTGATGATTTGCTCATCACATGTTGGTGAACTATCTTCCATAACCATAACACAGAAGAAAGACTAGAGAAGTGAAATAGTAATACAGCGATGCTACTAGAAATGCCAATAAGGAGGATGTAAAGAAAGCCGGATAACGGTACCGAGAAATGAAAAAGATACAGCCATCAGTTGGTACATAGAAACATCAATCTACTGATGTAATATGGCAGCTAGTAACAGTCAGCAAAAAAGCTGCTTAACTCCTTCAGTTTTCCGCGCCCGCCTCCTCCTCATCTTCGTACTCAGCATCCTCGTCAGCAGTCGCATCTTGGTACTGCTGATACTCAGCAACAAGATCATTCATATTGCTCTCTGCTTCGGTAAATTCCATCTCATCCATTCCCTCTCCAGTGTACCAGTGCAAAAAGGCCTTCCTCCTAAACATTGCAGTGAACTGCTCACTCACTCTCCTAAACATCTCCTGGATTGAAGTTGAATTCCCAATGAATGTGGAAGCCATGGTAAGGCCTTTAGGTGGAATATCACAAACGCTAGATTTTACATTGTTTGGGATCCATTCAACAAAATAGGATGAGTTCTTGTTCTGCACATTGATCAGCTGCTCATCAACTTCTTTTGTGCTCATTTTGCCCCTAAACATTGCTGAGGCAGTGAGGTACCGGCCATGGCGCGGGTCAGCAGCACACATCATGTTCTTGGCATCCCACATCTGCTGTGTTAGCTCGGGGACAGTAAGCGCACGATATTGCTGTGATCCTCTTGATGTAAGAGGTGCAAATCCCACCATGAAGAAGTGAAGTCGCGGAAATGGGATCAAATTCACCGCTAACTTTCTCAGGTCCGAGTTCAGCTGACCAGGAAACCTCAGGCAACAGGTCACACCACTCATTGTTGCTGAAATCAGATGATTCAGGTCCCCAACTGATAAAGACAATAAAAACAGAGGGAACTACATTAGACTTTTAGCGAAAGACACAGAATATTCATCAGCAAAGTAAAGATGGAATTGAATTGTATGCATTTGCAGTTCTTACAGCTTGGGGTGCTGAGCTTAAGGGTCCTGAAGCAGATGTCATAGAGCGCCTCATTATCAAGGACCATGCATTCATCAGCATTCTCGACCAGCTGATGAACAGAAAGTGTGGCATTATAAGGCTCCACAACAGTGTCAGATACCTTTGGAGAAGGGAAGACTGAGAAAGTAAGCATCATTCTATCTGGATACTCTTCCCTGATCTTGGAAATCAGCAGAGTTCCCATTCCGGACCCTGTTCCACCTCCAAGAGAGTGACATACTTCAAAGCCTGTGCAGTGCCACAACCATCAAGAATTAAGTCAATGCATAAACAAGTACCAGATTTTTTTTTGCTTGGTTGGGACATGAAATGGTAGATTATACCAGCATAACATGGTTAACACTGTTATGAGAATTGGTTTTGTACATTTTTTCAATATTAGCTACTCATATAGCACCCCTGGTTGATCAAATAAGCTGCAACGAATCCTCTGTAACACCCCTCTTTTATTTGGAGAAAAAGGTGAAAAAATTGTGCTTCATGTACTGGCTTCATTTCATTCCTTCCTTCTCTCCTTCAGCTAGTAAAAACTAACACATGGCGCATATCCATTACAAAATACCTGTGTCTGATATAAACTTGATCAACCTTAAATTCCTTTGTTTTGTTGCCAGAGATAAAGGACTCTCTAAGTTTGAACTCTTGATCTCTTGCTCTATGAGCCACAGATCAAGGATTCTGTAACAATCATGTACGCTAGAGTTTACTTTAAATCTTTTTACTTATAATTATGATCCAGATGAGTCAAAGAAGTTCAAAATCAGGTAGCTAGCAATCATTTTACAAACCTTGCAAGCAATCACAGTTTTCGGCTTCCTTCCTGACAACATCAAGGACTGAATCAATAAGCTCAGCACCCTCAGTGTAGTGACCCTTAGCCCAATTGTTTCCAGCACCAGACTGACCAAAAATAAAGTTATCAGGCCTAAAAATTTGGCCATAGGGACCAGTCCTTATGCTGTTCATAGTCCCAGGTTCAAGATCCATGAGGACAGCCCTTGGCACATATCTCCCACCACTTGCTTCATTGAAATACACATTTACCCTATCTAATTGAAGGGCAGAACTTCCATTGCACCTCCCAGTTGGATCAATCCCATGTTCATCACACACCACTTCCCAGAATTTTGATCCAATTTGATTCCCACATTGCCCTCCTTGAATGTGAAGAATTTCACGCATTTTGGCTAAACAAATGGTCAACGGTCAGGGACAAACGTGGAAAATGGCTTCCCCAAACTCTCACTTAGAAGGCTTTGGATGTGGGCTTTTGGTCTACTGCTGGCCACAGGGGGCTTATATACAACAGTAGCGGAGTTGTGAAAGGTCCCTATTGCTCTTGACTCGATGAAAAATGAAGGGACACGATCAGATGGGCTTAAAAGATCTGACAATCCATAAGCGTCCGCCCGAGTCATAGCTGTAGGATTGTCCATTTGTTGGATCATCGATGTCTGTTGTGGGGAGAATAGGCCATTTGTTCCAACTCATCATCAGTTTTGCCGTCTAAGATTTGTAGATTTGTAGCTGCTGATGGGACAGCTTAGAATAGTGGAACACAAAGCCAATGAATGTTTAGTTTTTGTTTCTAATTCTTACCTCATCTGTTGATGCAAGTAGTAGCCAGTGGAAATAGTCAAGCCGCCCTTTGATGCTCATCTTCTTCTGGGGATTGAGCCACTTGTAGGGATGGCAAGGGGCTAATGGTTGGGGCGGGAGAATATAACTTCACCTGTCACCCGCTAAAAAATATATTTATCTAATTTTAATAATTTTTACACATTTTATCTAATTTTACCGTATGTACATTTATTTTTCCACTGTATAATTCAAATTAAATACAAAGTAAATATAGAATAAATTTTTGTAAGTGATATATGTATAGTAATCTGAACTTTATATACAATTTAATGTGAAAAATGAAGCCCAAATCCGAGTTTTAGTGCCCGACCACACTGTTTTACTTGATGCATATTGCAGTAGAACTCATACTCGGCCAAGCTATTGCTCAAGGTAAGGGCTTGTCAAAGTTAATGATGGATGAGAAGTAATAAACCACTTTCTTAGAAATCGACTTTATTTTAAGAGAAGAGCCCAAGGAAAATCGAGCAGAAGGTGGAAATTAGCTCTTTGTTTGATGGGCTATGCGATTTATAAACATAGTAATGTAGGAATTAATAATTTAGTGAAGTCAAACCTCTTGTAGTCATGGTACCATTGATTGCATTTCTATGCAATTGCCAGAATACTTGCATGGTGTAGTCGATGGTTCATATGGGATAAACCTGAAACTGGATGATGGGAATTTGCTTACAAGACAAAATTTGTCACGAGTGGAAATTATGTCATATTTTTTGTAGGTTGTTATTTCCGAGTCTACATTGTTTTGCATTAGTTTTGATGATCAATGTTTTAAAACTCGGATCGTTAATTGAACCGGTGAGGTGTTCGAGTCGAAGTTTAACCGGTCGGACCGGTTCAATCCTGATTCAATGAATTTTTTAAAAAATAATTTATATAAATATATGTATATATGCACAAAATAAGACATGCATTGGACTAATTTAAGACTTTATATGATGAAAAATTTAATATTTGCAAAGAAGTTGGATTTTCACAAATAAAATTTTTAAATTATAAGTTGAAACAAATAAATTTCATCTCAATCTTAATTGAATTTACCAAAAAAATAATGTTAAATCCAACTCAAAAATACCATAATTTTGAAATTATACAAAATTCACGTCTATGAGAGTTAGACATTGTGAGTTTAAATTTTAATTCAATTTTTTGATATTTAGATATTGCAACTTAAAAAAAAAGAAGTTTTGAGTTTGGAGGAAGTCAAGAAAATAGAAAATACAAATACAAACTTGATAAGAGGCAAAAAATGAGAAGAAAGTGAGTGAATGTGACATTTAATAATTAGTTTTTAGGATTAGGGAGAACATATTCTTTTTTTAAAAAAAATTCAATTTAATAGACAAAAACAAAAAAATCGTTGATTCAACGGTTCAATCCGGTTCGAACGGTTCAATCCGATTTTTAAGTATAATCAACCCAAAATATGAACCGGACCGGAGCCAAGGCCAGTTCACGGTCTGACCGGTCGAATCGGCCTGGCCCGTCCGGTTTTTAAAACACTTTTGATGATTGCAAATGCTCTGAATCTAATCTTGAATAACGTCATAGATTTTGAACAATGTATAAACAAAATTTATAAGTGAACAGCAACAAATGGAAATTTCTATACATCTTAATTAGACAAGTATTCATACATCTCTTATATGTACAAACATTTATCCAAAATGCACGAGAATGTTAGACATAGTTACATCGCTACTGTTGAAATGTTCAAAACTCATTCCTCATACGTTAGAGACTAGAAAATTGAACATAACATTGACATACAGGATTGGATTGAAGTA